ACATCAACATATACTTAATGTACAAATATCACTTTTTCAGCTTCCCAGGGGTTTAATTTTGGTTGGGCCGGAGTAGAAATGAAGGCTCACCAACAATAGTAATCTATCACGTGGCAAATCTGTGTTGGTTTACTGGCTGACATCTCAAAATGTGGTGAAACAGTAATGAAGATGTACATGGCCAACAAAGAACAAGGAGTTACTACAATGGGAGCCAACCTTTTCAGCAGGTGGACCACAAATTAGCTTCCCCCTCTCCCCAAAGTGCTACTCTGGTCCCCTTCCCCTGCCCAACTGGCTGCTCATTCTGCTCCCTGCCCAATCAGCTGCTCTATTTTCTGCCCGTTGCTCTGTCTGCCTGTCCCCTCCTCGGTCTGCAGCATGCCACACATGGCGACTGCCTGTGCTACTTTTGGCACACATGCTGAAGGCTAGCCGCCCATGCATTAGTAGGTGCCAGATGTTCTCTTATCTAATCTAATTCAGTGACTGGAAAGATGATCCCTTAAAGACCCCTATTTCTATAGTTTAAGGAAACAGAAAACATTCTGTTCTTGACTGAGCTGGCATATCAACAGCATATTACTGTTCACTCACTTCTTATTTATTTTTATGGACAACAACTGACAACTGAACATGTGTTTTAGCTAATTCAGCTGAAATACATGCAGCTATCTAAGGTGTTGTACAGAGTGCCAGTCACTATGCTTTCCTGATGTTAATTCATGTTGCATTATCAGGTAGTGTGACATGATCAGCACCTCCTTTAATAGTCAACATTTTCCCCCAATACAAAAGCTGGAAGCAAGTAGGCATTAACTCAGGCATGAACTATTAAATAATTGTGTAGAATGAAAGAACATTTTTCCTCTAAAGAGACTATTTTTACCCTTCCATCACTTTAGAACCTCTGTACATACACCTTACAAATTGATGTAAAATCCTTACAAAATACTACTAAATGCAAATCAAATCTATTCTTAGTCAGCGGCTTTAAATGTCTCCAGTATAAAGCACTAGAAACAAAATAAAAATCAACTCTGAAAAATCAGCAGTGCAGTCAACAGTGAGAAAGCAGAAATGTTCTATTTGGTCTTGCAGGCAATTGGGTTTCATTGTCAGTTCTAGTTTAATTTCCTGAGCTGCCAAAGACAGGCAGTGCCACAGCAGCACTTCTAGCTCCTTAAAGAGGATTGAATAAAATGGAAGAGAAAATAAAACAGCAAGTGGCTCATAAAATAAAGCAGTAATTGCTTGAACTAGTCAAGAAACACCATTCCCAAGTTCTGAAGGGAGCTGCTACAGTAAACAGAATGATCTTGAACTGGGGAATCTGTTAGGTTAGGTACGGTGTTGCTTCATTAGCTAGAGCTCTAAAAAACAAATTATATGGGAAAATTCTTTAAATAACTGTTTAATTTTACCTGGCAAATCATGCCTCAGCACAGCAGTTCATGCTAATCCAATTTAGGCATTAAAAGCCCCAATAAAAATAAAAGAGGCTTCCTGAACTCAGAGAGTACTTTTTTTGTGTTCAATCACAATTATTCATGGGTTGGAAATTCGTTTTTGACTTAGTTTGGCCTTCGTGAGCATTCAGTTGAGAGCAATTATCCTGCTGAAAAGTGACATTTGAGATTGTAGCATTCAAGTTCAATGCCTAATTCAAACAATTGGGGCCTAATATTTAAAAGGTGAGTTGCTCAGGTAGGCAGCTTTGCAAGCAGAAAAATGTATGTGCCTATTTTCCAAATACTGACAAGCTTTGTGCTGTGGTTACCCATGCCTGGAAAGGACACATGCTGGTTTGCATGTATAAAGTTCATGCACACAACAGCTAGTTAAATTGAGAGCCCTGTTGAAAATCATAGCTGAAGTAATCAAACTTCAGTGCCATGATATGAATTCACAGTATGACAGCATCTCAGCAAGCCACAGCCCGGGAAAGCTCCTCTACTGAGGGCAGCATATAAACATACATTAATCTCATGCTTAAGACCTTGAAGTCAGTGGAACTTTAAGAACATGATTAAATGCTTCCCTGATCTGGGATTTAAAACAGACTTGATTTTCAGGAGCTCCTGACTTCACTGGGAGCTACAGGTGCTCCTTTGAAATTCAGGTCACTTTCAGTGAGATGCCCAAATCTGTATTGGGAAACCAGATTCGAAATGTTTAGCTCAGATCTTTAACACTCAACTGCTACGTCCAATAAAGGCTACTGGGTGTGGTACAGCAAAACCAAAAATAATCAGAAACCTTCTTCTTGCTATTAATATACAAAAAAAGAGTCAGAGATGGGTGCACTAGGAAACATTCCATTTACTTCCAGGAATGAAAGTAGCTTGATAAGAAGATGATTCTGAAGGTTGTTTTAGGTGGATTTGGATTAAGAATTAATCCTCTCAATATGCTGCTACAAAACACTTATTGCTGCAATGCTACTAGTGAAAAATAGGTCCTGGAAACCCAGTTACTACTGGAATTCTATAATGAAAATGAATACATGGAAGTGAAACTGAACTAGGACAAAAAGGAGTTCTGAACTGTTTTAATTCCTTTATATAAGATTTGCATTTACTATTCCAGAAAATTAACAATTTACTCTTTATGCTTTTGCAAGACAGGTTATAAGTTAAACATTTTGTCAGTGGAGACAAGAATCAGTGTTGCAAAGGAATATACAAACAACAGATCATTCTGTTCTCCAGACCTTAACACTTAAGGCATTTGAAACAATGGTTCTTGTCTTTTCTTCCTAATTCCCCTTTCATGTAGGCCCATGATATCCTGGGCCTGTCTTCTTGCATCCTTTCTCCCTCCGCATTCAACAGTCTAATTACTCCATCATCCAGGATATTACTAAAAATCAACCAGTTATCTCTGCTCTCGCTGCTAAAACTTGGTTAATTTGGGCTTGACTAGAATCCTCAGTCAGCCGGAAAAGATCTATTAAGTGGTATTACTAAATGGTCAGGTGGCTCAGGTCATGTATGCTGTTACCACAATAAGGTAAACAAATCAGGTACCCAATATGTAAATGGACCAGAGCTGACAAGGGAATAGCAAATATATTCAAATTTTGGTGCTGAAAATCAGGTTCCTAAATCCAAGTTTACATATTTAGGCAAAGATGACCTAATCCACAGAAGGACAGCGTATCTTCCAGCATGCATGAAACTCAACAGGAGATGCAGATGCTCAATGGTTCCAAATATCAGCTCACTTTAAATAGACAGGTACATTTGGGTTCAGTTCCTGTCAAGTCTGAAAGGCATGGGCAATGAAGCTAAACAATAACTCTGAAAAAAGTTGTAATTTAATACTTTGAATCTTTTTTGTAATTCCCTTGACTTTTGGGGGAATGTTCCTAGCCTAATTATTCCGTCTTGCTTAAGTTGCTTCAGGGCAATCTATGCAATTTTGCTCACTCATTTTAATTAATACAACACCCACTTTTCTGTCATATTAACATTCTATAATTTCTTTGTCCTGGTGCATTCTAGATAGCTCATTCATCATCCACAGTTGGCAACTGGCAGATTTGCCACAGGGTACAGAATATTTTCTTTCTTTAATAAAGAACAATAATAATCAGATCTGATTTTGTTCATTTCATGTTGCACCAGATTCTCTTTAATCTAGGTTGCTTTTCCTTTAGATTTTATTATGTACTCCTTGTGTTTTCTTGTGTGTCCTAATTAACACGATTTTCCTTTACTTTATTCTATGGCATATATCCTATCAACTTGCTAGCTCTAGTTCTCCTTTTATTCTCAAGAGACATTTGTACCCCCCAAAATCCTATTTCAGATGCCACTGTTAAACCACATGTATTTTTCATATGGTACCTCTGGTATGTTCCAGAAACAAAGCTGAAAGATGTCAGCCATTTGGACCAGGCAAAATGCATGCAAAAATAAAATTAAAAAATTAAAAATTAAAAAAAAAAAAAATTGAAAGCTTACTCAAGACAATCACTGCACATTTCATCCTGCAGCAAATATGCATGCTCTCTTCTGCATTTTCAATGCATTTGGCACTTCACAGTGCAAGCAGATGTGACAGGAAAAAAAGTAAAGGAGAAGACTAATGTATATTGTTAATGCCAAAAATGTATACCTGCAATAACAACAGTCCGGAAGCGTGCATTATTTGGGAATCTTCAAATATCACATCATAAAGAGGTCTGCTGTATTACAAACCACGATCAGCAGCGACAGCCAGAAGGAACCATTGCTGGGGCTAAAGGGAAAAACACTCCAGCTGCTAGGCTGCCCCAGCCCTGCTGTGCACCTGGGGGTGGCAGAACCCGAGCTGCCCCCACGCCTGGGCCAGGCAGGGCCGAGAGGCCTGCTGTGGGCCAACATTGGCAGGTTGAATCTGGCCCGCAGGCCATATTTTACCCACATCTGGTTTAAGCACTGATGCTCTGTAGCTTCTGCCTAGGTTTACCATGGTGAGTATGGAGCAGGCAGCAGCAGCGTGGGGAAGGAGACAAAGGAGCAGAGTGTACCTTGGAAAGGGTGAAGAAGAAGAAAGAGAGCATCAAAAGCATGTGAGGGAGAAGAAAAGAGCATGGCAGATTAGCAGACCCAAGAAGGGAACCATCCAATAAGGGCCATTTAAAAAAAAACAAACCAAAAACCTGTGCAGATCCCCAAAACATACCATTGAAAAGAAAAGGATGAGCAAATCAAATTATCAGGGCATAACAGACAGACTAAATTCTACATCACTTTGGAGAACAAGGGTGGGAATACAAAACTTCTGGTAAGAATAAGGTATTAGCCACAGAATTAAAAATAGGATAAATGACTAAGCCACAAGAACACCACTGAAACTTAAACCCAGCCAGTTGCTCTTAGAACCTCACTGCTGATAATGCCAAAGTTTGTTTCCTACGTGTACATCCATTTCATTTTATCTCTAAGCACTGTTACTTTGCATCCCATGAACACCACTCATTATAGTAGTAAACAACATTGCTATAATATTACCTTACTTCATTTTCAGCTGTTAAAATCCAGTATGTAAATCCACACACACACAATCAGAATCCACACTCAATCAGTCTTCTTTAAATAGTATCTGAAAGATAATAAGAAAAAGGACCTCTGAGTAGATCCATAGCAACAGAATAAATTAATGAAATGTAAGGCTGGAAGGTAATACATGTAGGGTCAAGTCCAGAAAAGCATCACTCACATAAAGCAGATTATTCTTTTGTAAATTAATGCCTTCAAAATTTAAAAAGGGAATCCAGAGTAGCATATATACACTACTGAGGAAAGAAAACGTGTTACGAAAGAAGCATAACAGTAATTGTAGTAGCCATTTATTAGATTTGTGAAGATATAATACATAGATACTGAAATACTTTCTTTAAATCAGTATTACTTATTTCAAGAAAACTAGCTTTAAGCTCAAAGTTTAAGCATCCATAGCAGACTAATGATGACAGCTTGGTGGGGATATCTAGATGTGCGCTTTATTGCAGACTAAGTGGTAAAGCGTCACCATCTACACATACAGCACTATTAGGCCAGAGTAAAGTAATCAACTCTGCCATAGGACAATACTGCCCAACACAAGTATTATTTGTTAAAGTGTAATTATTTACTCCACAGCAACACACGTGTAGACAGTGACCGGGCCTGGCTGGGGCACAACGGTGTTACAGTACGGGACTGCCTGCCAGCTAGCCCTGCACTGTAACACCCTCATGCCCCAGCCAGCCCCTCTGCAGCATGTTGACCTGGGTCAAAGCAGCTCTGGGCTGGCAAGCTGATCCATCCCCCAGACCCACTGCCAGCCAGGGCTGTGCTGCCCAAGCTCAACATGCCACAGTCCCGTGCACCCAGAAGCAATAAACTCCAGTGCAAACTGTGCCACAGTTTATTCAGGCATGCTAAGTGCACATGTAGATGCGCCCAGTGTGGGCTAATTTATCTATCTGAGATGGGTTTTGCTGCTGGCAGAGCTCTGTGCCATGATGTTTACAAGTTTACCAATATTCACACTACCCCTACCTACTCCACGTTGACCAAGTTTAATAGCGCCAGAAATTCCCTACAGACTCAGGAACCCTCCCTAGAAGGGAGCTTGTCGCAACAAAGAGGGCTCTGTTGAAAAAGGTAGCTTGCAAATGAACTGGGCCCATCAACAAATTTTGCACAGACCATCAAACAAGCATAGGAATTTGAACGTCTGTTTCTCATAAACTGATATACGAAATAAGTAACTAAAGAGTCTGGTGCACTCTTGTTTTAGTCCCACAACTTATCTTTCCAGGATATTTAATTAGTCTTAATGTCACATTTTATGATATACCCAGAATTCTTGTGACAAAAGTCAGACCCTTACTGCAAAGGCAGCAGAAAGGTTCTCTGAGCTCTATAAGATTACTGCTCCTGACTCCAAATCCACTACAACTACCTACCATGTACAATGCTTTGATACCTTAGCAACACAGCTTCCCTGACACATGAAGGCAGCTTATTCCACAGGCTCTTTCTTAAATGAGATGAGAAATGCAGAAATTCTCCCCTCAGGATTTACCTGAGAATACATGAGCCGGCTATGTGCACCAGTGATGATTCACTGCTGGCAATGACTTTAGAATCTGGTGCCTGGTTGAGGCATCAACCAGATGCCTCAACAGGGATAATGCTGGAGAGAGGGTCAGCAACAGGGAGCCGGATGAGCAGAGAATTCATCATATCCTTCTGAAACACACATATTGCTTCACTGTAGGTTCCCCTTTAAATGTGAATCTCTTCTTAGGAAAAAGACTATGCAATGTGACTACTTGTTATTCAAAAGACATAGGAGCAGTGGTTTTAGTGTCATATATTAGCAAGGACTTTGCAGAATGGAAATATACTGTGCAGTGCCTTAATGTACTAAAGCTGCATCAGACAGAAGAGAAACACATGCAGAAAGCAGCACAGCACTTTTAAATACCACATCTATCCCCACCACCCCACACCCAGAATGATAAATACCAAAAAAATTGAGATGACTGTTAAAATGCCTATTAAGAAGCCAGTAAATTGTTTTATGGATTTAAAGCAGTTTACCAGGACAGGGAAAACTTTGGTTTGGCTACTTTTAACGCTTTTCAGGCCAGTAACAGCTAAGATACTTGCATACACACAAATCCTTAAACACTGATAAACACTGAGCTCCTAAAAATGGTCAAATGTGGGGAAATACATACACTGTAAACTCAATTATGTTTTGATACTCTAAAAATAAGGTTTAACCAAAAGTGTTTAAAAACACAGCCTATTACATTGCAAGACATCATCAATACAGAGGAGGAAGAATTTCAATATCAAAATGAAGAATTGGATGATCTTGGCGACTAGGGGTATTTATACACGTGCTCCTGGAGTGGGGGGAGAGCGCTTTAATTACAGCATCTCTCAGAATGATGCATCACGTGTATCAGTGTCTCTGCACTGAAAAATGGGGGGGGGGGCACTTTAACTAAAGCTCGTTAAACGAGCTTTAGTTAAAGCCCTCCCACTGCCATTTTTCAGTGTGGGGATGCTGATATATGTGATGCTGGAGTCTGCTGGAGCACGGTAATTACCATGCTCCAGCAGACCCAATTAATCAAATCTGTTCCGATGCGCTGTAATTAGTTTAGTAATGAAGTTTAATAATATGAAGTACAAGATGACGCAATTAGTGATCAATAACAGACATGTCAGCTATAAATAAAATGAAACAGTTCATCAGCTGGAAGTGACAGGAGGAGAAAAACATGACTGTTTTTCCATGGAATGATTATGAGCCACCAATGTGATGCAGCAATGAAAATGGCAAATATCATTACAGGATTTATCAAGAGAGGTATTTCCAGGACAGATTTGGAAGAACTAATGACATCATATGAAGCACTAGTGGGATGTCTTGTGCACTACTATGCACAATTTGAATAATCTATATTCAAGAAAGAGGGACTAAAACTGGATCGGGGAAACAGAAGGGCTACTAGGATGATCAGGGGAATAGTGTCCCTTCTCTTACAAGAGAATACTGAAAAAATTGACTTATTTAGCTGAAGAAAACAAATGTGAGAAGGAACCTGATTATCCTCTATAAATACATTGGGGAAGAGGAGTAAACCTCCAGGAGCAAGAAGAACAATTTATGCTATAGGACTTTCGGCACAAAACCAAATGGGTATAAACTGACTGGGAATATTATCAGGGCAGGGCAGTAGAAGGTGGTTTCTAATGCTCACAAGACTGAGATCTGGAACACCTTTCAGTAGGGACCAAAACAGCTAACTTTGTTTACGATGAAGCTTAGTAAGTTTATAAAAATGACTGTATGAAGTGGCTGCCTGTGACATCAGGGGACTGGACTCAGTGACCCAGGTGGTCCTTTGCAGTCCTCTGTTCCTATGCAATTAATTTCACAGTGTTCAGCCTCATTGCATCTGAATGTACAATCACAAAATAGTATCTGTTCATATGAGCGGCCTATAATGAGACCTGAGTTTTCTTTTCTCTCTCACTACCAGAGGCAGGTAGAATTCTCTTTCTTATTTCCAACCTGATCTCACCTTCATAAATATTTCAAGAAATTCTTATTTATTTTGGATTTTGGAGGGAAAAAAACCTTACTTGGTTCTGAAGTTTAAGCAGGGATGGAGTATTTTGTTGGTATGGTGGCTCTGGGTAGGCTCAGCTGCTAGTTTTAACTGATTTTATTTTTGTAATTTCAGTCATTCACTAGCACCCAAAGTGCCAGTCAGGTACCTTTAATACTTCTAAAATCTACACAAAGAAATATTTTGTATTTCACTATTTATTTTTCTCAACCCATTCTGTGAATACACTGGATAGTGTAAGGTTTGCTATTTTCCTATTCAAGCTGACAGTTCCTAGATAAGCAAACAGTCATTTATAAAAGAAGAGACTGAAAGTCACAGTTACCCAGTCTCAGTATTGGGTGCTACTATAATTTAGATGCTGTGTTATAATTCTCTAATATACAATGCCACTGTTAACTGCAGGGCATTTAATGTCAGGACCACTTAAACCAAACAAATCACCACCAATTCCATTTAAGAACAGCGGTTGACAGTAGCAAAGGAGATAACAAAATACACTTGACTCGAAAAGCTCGATTAAATCTCTAAACAGGATAAAATATGGTATCTAACACTTAGTCTCCACCCAACTTCTTCCAACCATTAATAGTCTTTTAAATAAAGGAGTACAGTATATTTAAACATATAATTTGACCATGGTACTGGTAAACAGAAGGCAGGGCAGCGTGCTACTTTGGGGCACTTTTACACGCGCTCCAGGGGTGGGCGGCTCCAAAAGTTGCTCTAATTAAAGCGTTGCAGTGTTTTGTGCATCAGCATCCCCACACTTAAAAATGGTGGTGGGGGTGCTTGAACTAAAGCGCGTTCAGTAAATTATAGCTTGAAGCGGCCCCACCACCATTTTTAAGTGTGGGGACACTGATGCACGAGATGTGGGAGGCTGCTGGAGCGTGGTACTCTAATTACCAATTACTCGATTAATCGAGCCTGCTTTGATGTGCTGGAATTCCAGTGCGTGAGAGGAGTCTCCGTGCTCATGTATAAGCACCCCCTCAGATTAATTTGGTCAGAGAGGCATAACAAAGTAGGGTGTTACCTACAAAAGCTCATGACCCTCTGAATTCATTTCTAAGGCGCCACCCTGCTTTAACTTCTGCCTGACTTCAGACTAAACACACCTAGCCACTTCTTTGTTACTGGCAGACAAAAGTAAACTGAACCAAATTACATGCTATTATCCCGATGATGATCCTTTTGAGATACTGTGAGATAGAGAGTGCAGTGAGCAGACTGAATACAAAGCTAGAAACCAGAAGCTCCTGAATTTCAAGCTAAGCTCTATTGGTAATGGTTAGCTTTGCAGCCTTGGGCAAGTTCTCTTCATTTCTCTGGTTCATGTTTCATCATAGACAGAATGGGGATAATACTACTGGCTAACTTTAGAAGATTTAAAAAAATGAATTATGTTTGTACATGGTTCATAGAAAAGCCATGAGACTACAATTATCTTGCTGAGTAT